ATATATATGTGTTTGTTTTTCGCCCCCCGTCTTGCTGCACCCCCTGGGGTGTGGTGCAGGGCGGGGGATGCCTGGTCGGCGGGAACCCGGCACGGAACCCTCCGGCGTTGTAGGCGGGTGTGGGAAGCGTTCCCCGTTCTCCTTTTATTTTATTTTGATCGGTCTCCTCGACGCTCTTTCTCGTTTGGTGCGGTAGCTGGTCTTTCCATCATTTTTTTTCTCTTCCAAGTGGTTTTTGTACCCTATTTTTTTCTGTTTCTTCGTGGGGTCGTGTATGCCGGGTTTTGAGATCACGGGCTCCCAATCTTTCTTTTTTAGAGCTTATGTGAGAAACAGCAACAACAACAACGACAGTCATCCAGGGTCACACAGGAGGGGGTAAACACCAGGGCTTTTTCCTCTTTTATTTGTTTTCATGCCCCACCTTCCTCCTGCGGTGGGTGCTGAATTTTATTTGGATCACGAGAAGGGTCCTGCCGTCTCTTTCCCTCGTCAACAGTGCTAACGTCGAAGTTTGGTACTCGCGAGAGCTTGTCAGCAGTATTTCGCTTTCACCGGCACATTTCGTAAGTTTTTCACCCCATGGGAATTCGAACTCACAACCTCTGGGACGAGCGGATCACGAGGATACCACTAGACCACCGGGGCGACCGGTGTCTTGCGTACCTACGACTCAGTAGTCCTCACAAAATTCAACAAATAACGCATGTTGTCAATATTGCACGGTTCCCTTTCAAGTCGCGAAACATACTCCGAGTGGTACTTCGAAGAAACTGTCATCGTGCCGCTGGGTGCAAAAAACGTTAGCGTGAACGACAAACTCATTCGTAAAGAATTTTTTTATTACACTTCAACGGCACTGACGCCAAACGTGTAATTTGTCTCACCTATTTTATCAGTTGATAAGTTGCTTCGTTCGTCGCTGAAGTTTCTGAGTACATTGCTCTACGCACGCAAACCCTAGGCGAACCCTCGGGGGGCCGCGCACGCCAACCAGTCGCATATGGAACGCACGTGACATGCTCATGCAAACAGCCACCCGTAAAGGAGAAAAACCTTTCCCGTACGCAAGCTAACACAGGCACCAGGCGGCGTTTGCGAGAGCGTCGGCGGCAACGGCGAGAGCACTTGCCTTGCCACAAAAAGATACAACAATCAATTGCTTCCAGGCCTTGGATCTAGCCTTCCCGGTGCCCTCAAAGGGCGCAGACCTCGCTACAAGCAGGCTTTCGCATAGGTGGGACTGAGGGCGAGATCCGCCCACGTTCCACAGCAACACGGGAAAACCAAGCCGACCATCCCACCACGGCACGATGCCCTTCGAGGCGCCTCCATAGAGCATTCATTTCCTCAAGCTTACCAACTGCGGGTCAACGGCCGTGGTAATGAAATGACACATCGAACACAACACTTGGAACACTTCATTTTCTGGATATGCTTATCAACTGTCCAGCAAGCCCTGAGAGAACATCCCGTGATCGTACGCTGCCGCTTGCACCTGTCGCCCAGCAAAGAACCTTCCGTTCATTTTCCGAATGGCTGTCACTGTCTCGTTCGGGTCGGAGAACACTACGAACACTCTCACGGCCCACACGGCCCCGTCGGGTCCTCGTTGCTTGTGCACGTGGAGCTGCGGAAAGAAGAACAGGCGGCAGAATCCATGGCGGGGGGGTCGGAAAAGGCAGGACGAGGGTGTTATGTTGCTTGTCGCCCTCTCGACAATTTCTTCGTAGATGGAGCCCCCTCACTTACGACGATGTATCTGGTGCGGTTCTTCCGGGAATCGTTGCTCGTGGTATCACCCTTCCACTTAGACAAAAGAAGGGGCGCGGGTCAGATGAAACGCATGGGCGGAAGCCAGTGCAACTGCGGTCTACATCAGAGGGAGGGAGCACTTGGACGTGCAATCATCGGCAACGTACTATTCAGGTGAAGCACCGCCCCCCCCAGCCCCCATTGGGCGGTCGGGCCATTTGGTTATGCAGGTCGAGGAGAAAGGTAGTTTCCGGAAGAGGGGAAAGACAGGGGGTAACGGTGGCGCGCGATGGGAATTGTGGGTAGGGAAAAATCGTTGCGCACCATGTGGCTGTCTCAAGTACGGTATTAGATTTGTGAGATGTCTTAGACAGATGTGGGGACGAGACAAACGGTGGGGTCGTTGATACCCACGGGGCGTTGCGCACGATGCGTGTTGCCTCTCATGCGTTTCGTGTAAAATGTGAAATAATTAGGGATGTTCACGGTGCGGTTTTTCTCGACGGTGCGGTGCGGTGGTGCGGTTAAACCGCAACGCACCGCACCGTGACATTTCGTCATGAAAAAAACCGCACCGCACCGCACCGCACCGTTAAGGATTCACGAATAACCATAGTTTTAATACCGTGCAATGTGCCCCACCGCGTAGCCAAAACCGCAGTACACCGCGACAATAACCGCAGTAAACCGCGGTAAAAACCGCAGGAAAGGCACGATTTCGTCGTCCAGACACGCACACACCAGGAACATTACACATTTATCTTTCTTTTTTTATCTTTCTTTTTTTTGAACCAACGCACACGCAACACCGTGTTCCCATACCACACACACCGCCGCTGCAACACTCTCCGTGCACAACTCCGCCCATCTCCGATGGAGTCACCCCCCGACGATGGCGACCAGCCTCTTGCATAGGTGGTCGCCACGCGTCCATCTCCTTCTCCCGGTGGTTCTACCACTGCTCTGCTGGTGCTGCTGATGCCGCGCAAACTGGGGGCACCCCGAAGACAGTTCGCAGCGTGCAACGAACTGCCGTCAACGCATTCGCGGGTTGTAGCCCGTGGCGGGCATGAGCCGCCTGCCTGGTCGTGCTGCCAGATTTCTTCTTCATTTTTTCTAGCATATTCGCAAATTCGCATATATATTCCAACAACAACAGTAGTAATAGAAGCAAGTGAGGAATATAGCTCGTGTGGTAGGAACGTATGGTGACTGGGAAATTAAGTTCATGATCAGTAGCTTCTCCCTTGTCTGGGGTTTTCGGGTTTTCTCACCGCAAGCCACGGGATCCATCGTGCCAGCCTCATGTAAATGGACTAATCTAAACCTAACGTATTCCACGAAAAAAAAAAAATTATGGAGACCTTGTCATTTTGTCGCGGACAATCGTAGATTCTCCGCGGTGTTCTTCGACGGTGCACCGCCGACAAGGCCGAGGTAAGCGTAAAAAAAAACGTGCGACGGTGAACCGCACCACACCGCATCGTGATGATAAAACCGCACCGCACCCCATCGTGACCATGTCAAGATACCAAAAACCGCGCCGTGGTTCGGTTACACACCGTTAACATCCCTGGAAATCATGAGGGTTCCATGAATAAGAACGAAATTGAAAAATAACCCGTCATACAACAGTTGATTAGTGTAGATCGTGCGTCACATCGCAAGGGAAACTATTTAGGTTTCGGGGAACCCTTGCTACGCGAAGACCACGTCGTTGCAGCAACTCGAAAGAAAAAATAGAGAAAAAATCATATATACGAAGCATGGTACTTTGGGACAGAACGGAGATGCAAAAACGGATATCGCATGCAGGCCCATGACGCGTGTAGTACTCCAACATAGTTCCCCACAAGGAAAAGATGAAAATGTTCATCTTAGCGACGAAGACGTACAGCAAGGGACGGGGTAATGATGTATCTCAACATCCCGAAATACGTACGTACGAAAGAGCAATGCTATTAATGCCACCGTGGATGTGGGAACATGGAAATATTAAAGAAACTACGAAAAGCATGTATTTTTGGCAAGGAAAAAAATGTGACCCGAGGCAGGAAGGTCTTGTAGGTTTCACCCGTCACCCCCTTCTACACAGAACGCGGTAGTTTCCTTTTCGCGGCTAGAACGGCGCGTCCGGTATGTGTCGGTTGGCCTCCGATATAGCACGCCGGCGGCTGTTGATGTTTATATTTTGTTCGTGTCATGGGAGGCACGTCTATTCTCACTGACAGAATATTCTTGTTGTGGTACCTATTGCATTGGCAGCGTCCTTGTTCACGAGCCGAGCGAATGCCCTCCTCTTCTGAATGGCGGGTTCCTTTCTGCGTACTTGATGCGGACTTGCTGGTTACTCCGAAAAAGCATCTGTGGGGTTTTCATTGCCACGGTTGGCAATGTTCATGGTCGACGTGTGAAGGACGAGTTGTATCGCAAACAAGGGGTGAGGGTCGGACGCGAGGAAGGGCCCATTCTCCGACTCCGGGAAAAAAAAAAGAGAGAAGGTTCCCTTCGTCGTCGCTAGTTGTAGAGGTTCTCTCGAAGTGTTCCTGTTAGCGCCGAACCATGAACGGGTGTTACATTGTGTAGTACTCCTTGCTCTTGCGAAGCGTTGGGTCAGATTTTCCCCGAGTAAGCATGTGTGCATATGACGTACGAGGCTCCCCCTCGGGAGTTAGGTAGCTTGCCTCCCGAGGGCTACGCAAGAGGACACGGCCAGTGTCATCGCGGTCGCATCGTTGCATTTCAACGTCACGACATTCGGTAATGCCGGTTTTGCGTACAACCTGCAGAATTTGTCTGGAATTCGCATGATGTGCGCGGTATTTCATTTTCTCGCCGTGACTTTCCGCGTGTGCGTGAGTGTTTGCTTTCGGCCAGTGGTGCCTATACTGCAGGTCCTGCTGCTGTGATTCGCTGCTTTCGATCACTCACTCTTAAACATTCGTGTTGCGATCGTCTGTGAGGCATGTGCGCGTTGCGCATGCACGAAAAAAAAATCCTGTCTACTGTGCACCACAGAGCAATATTTTTTGCATTTCTTGCCAATACTTGCGCGTGGAACACGTCCCAGTTTATTAGGGCGTCAAGGACACCCGCCGCGGGTGGCTGGTGGTCCTCGGGCGTGCGTGGAAATGTAGCGACGATCTCCTGCGTGCCCCGCAGTAGGACGCCTGAGAAACGACTCGCTTCCGCCAGCGCAATACGTGCCGAACCACGAACACGGTCTAGACTGTGCGATACATCTGGACAATCGGGATATAAAATCTAGGCGAACGGAAGAAAAAAAAAAGGATTGTGTCCGAATTCGAACCCGACTGACGACAGCGCCCGCAACTCTCCCTGCTTCCCATCGTCATGGATAGAGACACGCACTGGTTCGTAGTCTGGCGTCATGCGGAGGCCTCATTGCCGTTCGCGACGAGGCAAAACCGTTATTGGCGTGTAGTGTTGAATCAAGCGTGCTGAAGGTAAGTGCACGCTAGAAAAAATGTGCTTGCGGTAGGTCTGCAAGCACGACCAACGTGTACTGTGCGTATGCTCGATGCCGTCAATCATTTGCGACGTGTTGCCGGCCTCTGAACATGGCGGTTACGCGTCATTGAACGCGTGCGTTTCACAAGAAAAAAAAAAAAAGATCGAGGGTACTCTATTTTGTAGGATATCCCTGACAACGACGCGACGATGTATGCCTGGAATATTCAAAACATGATCGGCGTAGAGTGCTCGACCAAAAAACAAGGAAGCGCTAGTGCTGTCAGCGTGTGTAAGCGGCCAGGGTTAGAGATGCGCCAAATGTGGGGAATTTTGTTTGTGTGAGTGTGATTTAGTTCACCGTACTCTGGGTGCCAATCGACACCATTCGGTACATCGTGGATTCACTAGCCGAGGTATCACACAGGAACACGAACATGGGGCAGGTTGTATGTACCGACATGTGTTATTTTCCCGGTCTAACCGAGGAGGCTGAGGGTGGCTGGTCTTGGGACGAAACCACACACAACAGAGTGCGGCACAACGAGGCGGCCTGACTTCGCGTCCATTCCTTCATGCCCAGGCCCCAGGCGAAGAACATTGGCCAGAAATCGACCGCAGCAAGAGCCTCGTTCACCTACCGGTCCTCACCTCGGGAGTTGCACTCTTCTCCCACCTCTCACGATGGAAAGGACACAACCGGCACATTGGCATCAGTACCACGCTGGCACGCAACCTACCAACTTATACCATCAAGGCACACACCTGCAGCACAGTCCCGCACGTCCCGAACTCCTCTAGAATCTCCGCCTTGGTATCCTCGTCGTCAGCGTCTTCTGGTCCTAGCATGTTCTGCTCCGAAATACATTGCATTGCCGCAATCAAGAACGGAGGTACAGTACGACTCAGATCAGGCAACAACAACAGTGGCCAGGGGCCAGGGAGTGATCACTACCGACTGACCGATACCTTGAAAAACAGCGGGAAATTGTGCAAAGGTACCGAGTATGTAACAGGACAGAGGGGGAGGGGGATATAGGACAGTGCGAGCGGCCAGTTGACCCTCAAACCAAGCCAAACGACACGACGACGGCACGCGTCGAATCATGGCGACTACGCAACCCCATCACCACCCCCTCCGCCTCGTTGGCAATGGCCTGGCCTGGGCCGTTCCGAATCAGGCAATGGAAACGATGCGGGGTTTACGGTGTGACAGGACTTCGACAGCGCAAGAAATAACCACTTTCACACCCTCCCCCACGTGTCTCGTCCCGGCGAATCATCCGGCTCACCACCAAACACATGCATCTCGACACGCCGGGAACCCCCGTGGCTCCTCCGACGCCTCCCCCCTGCAGTCTCCTCGCGGAGCCCCCGACAACTCCAACTCCCCCGTTGCTCCCGTTGTTTGCGACACCGCCGTTGCCCAAGCCTTGGAGGCGACTAGCCGCCGTCAGACGAGCGGCGGCTTGGGCGGCGGCCGCCCCCCCAGCGGCGGACGCGGCAGCCTTGGCGGCTTGGGCAGCGGCTTGGGCAGCGGCGCCAGCAGCCGAAAGACCCGGAGGAAGGACCGAGAGTGCAGGCTTGGACTGGTCTTGGGCCCAGGCGACGCGTAACGTCCTCCCGGCAAGCTCAAAGCTCGACATCGTCTATTAAGTGGGGGGAGCACCGCAAAAACGGAGGGGGATCTAAATGCTGAATGCCGAAGAGGAATTGCTGCCGAACGTGCGCGCCAAGAATGGGGGGGCAACATGGCTCACGACTTGTTGGGGTTGATGAGTTAGCTCGGTTTGACTAGGCCTCAAAGCTCCAGAGGAGAACAAGACAAGGTGGGAAAAGCCTGCCAATGGCTAGGTTTCGACAGGTGCTGACATCCAGCAAAGGGATCGGGGCTCCCTTTTTTCCGGCGGGCGTGAACAGCCTGCTCGTGGGGTAAACCAGCCAACCAGCTCAATGAGCAAGCAGTAATGTGGTACTGTAGATCGATCCCGAGTTCGCGCCTCTTGCTCCCCTATCCCATGCAGTGTGCGAGCCAGACCATACGCGGAGACCAACTCGGGGGGTGATGGCTTCCCACGTGGGAAGGCTAGCACGCGCAATCGACAACGCGAACGCCGGAAGACTGCAACCGGTAGAGAGCGAAAAAATGCAGCATTGGACACCCAAAAAGAGTGCAACACAGTGACCAGGCAGAACATCCACCGGCACCCACATCGATCACAGTCCTCGCCACGCTTTCCTGCGCGTACTGGATGAACCCGAAGCCCTTGTGCTGAACGCAACAGGAAGCACATGCCGAACGATTGGAGAGCGGGGGGGGGGGGGGAACCGTTATTGGAACTGGTATAAGAAATAAAACCCGTCCTTCGAAGACAACGTCCAATCGGTCACACCGGCACTTGAGGGTAGTTGTTGCGCGCTCATGACCCTTCCGCGTCCCTACTGACGTACATAGTTTTTTTAAGACATCGCAAACCTCAACACTCAACACTCAACATGATACCGACCCAAGAAAACCTCGAACTTGCGACTGCGGTACTGCGAAAAAATGGCGCCTCGTTTTGCGCATCTTCGTCGAGGACATGCAAGTCGAGGGAAAGGGAGAGCGAGAGCAAGGTTACACATGCCATCGCCATCCCTATCGAGGCAAGAACAGGAGAGCCATGGGCATGCTATGCCATCTGGTGGGGTTGGTAAAGCAGGCAGCAAGAGGGAATTCAACAAACACGTATGAAGTATGGGATATCACACAGCAGCGTAGGTGCCGCCTACTGAGCGCGGGACCTCCTGCAACAACAGCTCCGATAACACACGGAAGAAAAAACGGGAGAAGGACACCCGCTTACAATGTCCAGCAACACTTGCCGAGAACCGCGCATGAGCAACTCACGTTCCCAGGGTTGGAAGGGTCTTGTACCATCTCCGCACCCACGACCATGCCAAAGGGTTCGAACACCGTCTTGATCATCTCAGTCGTGATGTGTGGCTCGACGTTGCCGACGTAGATCTTCGTCTGAGCAGGGGCCGTCGTCCTTCCAAGGGTGTATCCGGACACGGGTGTGTGCATGAGGAAAGGTCGTTGATAGTGATCACAGAGCGGGGAACGAGTTTCACCGACAAACCATCGGTCGCTTCATAGCCCTCGGCGCACCCTCCTCGCGGCTGGCGTTGCGATTGGGAATATCCTCGCTAATAAACCGCGACGGGCGTTGTAGTCTCCTGAACCTCCCAAAATCTTCGTTAGCGGTGTTAAACCCACTGCAGGACAGGGTGCATCACGGACAAACGACCGCTGACTCCCAATATCTTCGTTTCCCAAACCAATGTGGATCGAGAGCGCCGCCTTGAGAACCACGACGACCAAGCTAAGTACCATACTCGTGAAAATGCATCTCTTCAGCAATACTTGGCCAGAATTATGTAGATGTTTCCATTTTTCGATTCGTAATGCCGGCACATTTGAACATGCCACTTGTCCAGGACAGCGTTTTCCACAAACCAACAGCATAATACAAAGAGAAAAAAAGAGCTGGACGATCGTGTGCCCTCCATCCAAAATATCTGCTCATCGTCGCCTTCAACTACAACGGCAAGTGATCAAGACATACATGCCCATGGCGGCCTTCAGCTGTTCGGCAGCTACCCCCGATCCCTGCGCTCCGCCAGCCGCGGAGGTGGAGTGCTGGGCCATGAAGGCCGCCATTCCCGGAAGCTGCATCGCCGCTGGCAATCCCATGCCTTCGATACCGCCTGCGCAAAACAACCCCCCGCCCGCCACACACACATAACCCCGCCGCCGCAACAAGTAGCAACCAAAGGCAGGCGCCCCAATAGAGTCAAGCTAAGGACAGACAGAGTAGGGGAGGAACACTAACGCAACAGATCTCATGGGCAACACTCGTGATCGCGCCTTGTACTTTATGACGGGGACAGCGGCAGACCCTTGTTCCTGGTAGACCCCTCGAAAAACCTCCAACAAGAATCCAAGAAAGGAACAAGAGCCAGCCATGCAGCCGAGAGCTAAGATAACGTGTTGTCGAATCAGAGAGGGAAACTTCCGTCACTTCATCAAATCAAATCAACGAAAACGCCGGGGACGGCGCCATCAAAAACCGAAACACTGCTAGGCTTGCTCGGGCTGGGAGATGCGCACCTGCGACGCCAGAGTTCGTGTTGTGTGGCCGCCCGACCTGGATTCGTAAGGCGGGCAACGTTCGACGGCCAGAGCACGTTTGACTTCGGGTGAACGGAGTGTGTGTGTGTGTGTGTGTGTGTGTGTGTGTGTGTGTGTGTGTGTGTGTCCTTATGTTTAACACCGATCGCGCTAACCGGCTGACCAATGAAAGTACATCAGCCTCAGTGCGGTAGAAACACAAAACACCTCTACATGCGTGAACTGGGACCCCGTGAGGGGGCGGTGTGTGTGTGTGGGTCACTTCTACCTTGTATCCACCGAAGAAACCTGCCCAAACAAGAATCAAAGCAGGGTACCAACAGGCCCGAATACCATAACATGACAGCAACTTCGCATTGGCTCAACCCCTTTGGGTCTAGCTCTTCTGTTTTTTTTCGGCGAAAAAAAAAAGGGGAAAGAAAGTGCTGGAAAGAGGGACAGAAGTACAGCAGAAGGAGAGAGTGTACTTCATGTAGACGAACAGCTATCTCCACCCATAGGTCATGAGGGCAGCCAGCGACAGGACGGTGGGCAAAGACAGGATCATAGAAGGCTTGATGTGTGGTCGCGGTGCGGCCGGTAGGACAGGTTAGGCTTGTAGACTTCGAAACAATCAGTCGTCAAGCCGCCTGAACTAATCTATTTTCAGTATATTCAAATTATCAGTGAAAATTATCAGTGAGAGGGCTTGCAGACCCATGGCTGGTTCTTGTACTTGTGTACTTCTCTGTCCCCTCCCTAATATGAGACCTTCCGGCTCACTACAGCTCCTGTGATTTTCCCATAATTCCCACAAGCACACAGGCACACACCAGCGCACACCTACCTTTGCATCAGTGGCTGCTCTCTAGGTTCGGCCGAGGGTATGTGTGGGGCAATGATGATAGTGTTTGTGTTATTACTATAGTCTATGTTGGACTCGTCTATACTGCTGCTGCTGTATAGTATAGCTGCTGACACGATGACTGCTGGATCCTGGGGAATGTACGATTTTCAAATTTGCAGGATATGCAGCATATCACGATATCCTGGCCTGGTTGGGCTTGTAATGCCCCTTATTGCTGATCTCCTGTCTTTGCTTTAGTGGCTTCCTACAGGCGAGGGCATGTATGTGGAGCTATTGATGTTCGTCTCTGTGAAAGGATATAGGGAGAGGTTCATGGTGGCATTCGCATATAGAGCAATGTGCGTTTTTCGAATTTTGGCCGTTCCAGGGACCTTGATATTACCCGCTGGCACTAACGTCCTTTCATTGGTCACCGGGTAGCGCGGTCGATGCGAACAATCAAGGCACACCTACGTAAGAATTGCCAACACCTGGCATGGAGGGATACAGGCCGGCACCTCCATGGCATACCACAACACCATCATTTGCCAACAAATGATCAATCAAATGATCAATCAATTATCTGTCAGGACGCCTGTACACCCAAAAGGGTCAACGGATTGGCGCGGTCTGGGAATTACATGGACTGATCGTCCTCGCGCATTGTGGCAACATCAAGTGCCACACGGGGATGCCATATTTTGGGCCACACGCCGGTGAACAAAATTAATCGGCAAGGCAGCGGGGTCGGGGTTTGTTGGGGCGAGATACCCCCGATCTAGGGTTAGGGTTAGGGTTAGAGATACCCCGACGGGGAGGGCAATATACAGGCGAGGCTGATGCCGATTGAAAGGGAGATGAGATCCGGTCCGAGGCGTCAAAGCGGCCGAGGCCATGGCCGCACTACACGCGCCGTGACATCACACGAGACGGCAAGCACGCCCACTTGGGGCAAAAAACACCTACGGGCCCGCCCAAAGCAACACACGGAGATCGCCAAGACCGCCAGCCAAAAAACGCATGATGGTAGATAGAAAGGAAGGCTGGCACACCTTGATGGCGCGGCCGGCGAGCTCGAAGCCGTTCATCGCCCTCAGCGCCGCGTCAGCCGCCTTCACGTCCACGTACTCGATGAAGCAGAAACCCTTATGCCGACCGGTGGAACTGTCGTGGGACATATCCACCAGCTTGAGCGCCCCGAAGTTCGCAAATATTGACCTATGTATCAACGCGCGTCGGACAAGCACAGCAGCCAGACGCACCGATCGCACGGCGCGAACACACATGCCAATAGGGAAGTGGAATCGGGGGGGGGGGGGGGGGGG